ATTATCTGTTTCCTAACCTTAAAAAATGGCTTGGCGGTAAGAGATTTGCTGACAATAAAAAAGTAATCGAAGCTATAAATGGGTATTTTGAGGAGCTTGACGAATCAGTCTATAGAGATGGCATTACTAGACTAGAACACCGCTATGATAAATGTATCAGCCTTGGAGGAGATTATGTTGAGAAATAAAAAAAAAATTCTTAAAAACATTGTTTTTCTTGGTCAGGCCAGAAACTTATCAATCCACCCTCGTACATAGCATATACAGCCATCATTTAGGTGCGATTGAGGACGTGAAATGAAGGGTAGAATCGGTAAGGGGTCACTCAAAATTGCAAAGATGGACCATGGCATAGGCTATCTACCCATCGTAATTTATCCAGAGGAGAGACGGCACATCGAGGCTGGGCGTAATGGACGACCATAACATAGGCTATCCAGCTTACACAGCCGTGAGAAAGGTTGAGATCTCGGATAATACCTTCAGCGGTAGTTAACCAACTATGAGGCTCTTTCGATCAGTTAAAATTCTATGGCTGAACTACAGAAGCGGTGACGTTTATAGCTCAATGTTACATGAAATGGAACGAGACATTCAGCTGGGAAGGTATGGTTGCTTGCAGCTGGTAGTTGTCAGGACATTTGTGACGACGGTGACATGTTGATGTTGATCCATATAACTTCGCAGATAAAATCAATCTTTGTCCTTCTTTGACGTTCTCCGCTCACCAAGTCTTGTAAAATTTGCTGAAAAATACGTAAAATGCGCGGCATTCACACGCGGCATGAACACACACACAAAGGGATCAATCATAGTGGTAGCTGATTTAATTCCAGAGCTAGATCGTGGACAAGAGGGCCTCAAGATTACAGAGGTAATTTTCTAGAATAAATGACTGTGAATATACCGGAAGTGTACCATCTCACTGTGGAAAGTGTTAAAAAAGGAGTCGTTTAATGATCATCGATACATCTTGGTAAACATTATAGGGAAACAACACACAAGAAAAAAATAGCAGATAAGAAGCAGTTGGTACCTTCCAAAAAAAGACCGAAAAACTTTCCTGTAAAGAATTAGTAGAGCAGTTGACTGAAAGGGACGGATAGCAGAAGAGGCAGTAGAGATCCTTAAGCATATTGTAACAGAAACGTGCACTGTGTTGATGTTATACAGGTCAGTAAGATATCATAGAAATGAAGAGCTAGCTGAATTAAGAAAAGAATGCAATAAGTATCGCCTCAAGCAGTGAGCGAGAAAAGCAAATCGACTTAATGCGGTAGAGGTTAAAGAGCTTACTAACTAGTCAGAAGAAACCTACGATTAGTCAAGCAAGAACAAAAGCAGGAAAGATCTCGTTGAATTATTCAGTTCCCATAGGACTTATCTTACAAGATAGTGATGGACAAATTGCGCAAGGCACAAGACGTGAACGTGCTAAATCTTCCGGAAAATCGTAGAAGCATATTTCCAACAGAGAAACTCTAGACTAGCTTTCCAAGCAAAGAAAATGACTGATCAAAAGAACTCTTTACACCGCAGCGAGTGAGTTCCAAGAAAAGTTCATGACTGGACGGCATTCTTAATAAGATTTTAGGACTGATAACACTAAAGAATCTCCAGATACAACTAATTGTAAGCGTTTTCAATAGATGCCTAGGGAAAGGCATCTTTCTAACTAAGTGAAAAAGACAAAGCTGGTACTGATACTCAAGGAAGAAGCAGGCTCTGTGGATTGTCTCTCATTGTATAGACCACATCGTATAGAATCGATGAAAAAGCTATTCGAACAATTAATCCTGAACAGGATGGAGCAGTTGATCTAAGGAGAAGAGAATGAGATAATCTTTCTAAATTAGTATACCTTTCGTCAGGGTCTTTTAACTCACAACAAATTACAGATAGTGCAACAACGAATCATGGAAGCACGCTTTGGGCTTTGCTTGACTGAGAAGGATATTGTACTATTATACCATTGGACGTTAAAAATGTATTTAATTCTATTAGTTGGGAGCGCATCTATCAATCCCTTGATAAAGAGAAAAGGATGCGCTATTACCTGTCAAAGATTTGAGACAGCTAACTGAAGGACAGGAAACTAGTGATAGTGACCAAAAGTGGCAGGTTAGTTATGAATTTATCGGTGGGATATATTAAGGGGATAATTCTGAAGATCTTTATCTATTATGTATTGTTAATATTGTAATTACCAAACGGTAATATTACATATTATGATTTAAATAAACTATATACCTAGTCAAGAGTGAGCAGAGACCTAATTGCAATTGCCGCTTTCGCGGCAAAGAGAAGGATGATGTGAAGCATACACTATTTGAGTGCTCCGCATACGAATGCGGGAGAATAAATCTGACAGTAGAACTATAATGACTAGGTTACCAAAAAAAAATCTTGTAGCGATGTAAGAAAGATGGGACCTGATTGTCAACTTAATCAGAGAAGCAGCCATCTTTGGGACCAAAGAAAAAAAGAAGGAAAAAAAAAGAAAGGAAGAAACGAAGAGAGGTTAGATTAAGTAAATGCAGCCTAATAAGAATAGATCCTACCGAACTAATAAAGAAAACGAGTACCGGTGGGTGCTAGAAGTCCAAAGGGTAAATTAAAGAAGGGCAGGGGATGAGTAGGTTTAGTGTATTGGAATTGCCATATTTTCTATAGGAAACACTCCCTATGAGGATTTTATGGAAGATTTCTTCTCGTTAGCCCGGCAACAAAATACGCGGTGTGATCAAAAAGTAAGGTGAATTTTGAAATTTAGCGGGCTACGTCCGTTCGATCTTCGACTTTTTTATTTGGTTATGTTGGTACACTCGTCTAGAACATACGTTCCAAATTTCAGCTTTGTAGTATGTTTGGTTTGTTTGCGAGAGGCATCAAGGTTAGAAGTGTTTTGCGTGCTCCACGATTTGCTGCTGTCTAAAAACATGGATCAAAGAGTTTGCATTAAATTTTGTGTGAAAAATGGAATCAAATAAACCAAAACACTTGAAATGCTGAAAGTGGCATTCGGTGAGTCTACTTTAAGCCAAAAAAATGTTTACAAGTGGTATAAACTCTTCCAAGAAGGCCGAGAAAACACCGACGACGAACCTCGTTCTGGACGCCCCAGCACATCAACAACTGATGAGAATGTTGAAGAAGTGAAGAAAATAGTGTTGGGAAATCGTCGAATTACCATTAGAGAAATTGCTGATGATATTGGCATCTCATTTGGTTCGTGCCAATCAATTTTGACGAGTGTTTTAGACATGAGACGTGTGTCAGCGAAGTTTGTTCCGAAATTGCTCAATTTCGACCAAAAGAAACGTCGCATGAGCATTGCCCAAGAGCTCCTGAATGACGTCAACGATGATCCAGATTTACTCAACAGGGTTATAACAGGTGACGAAACATGGGTATACGGTTATGACGTCGAGACTAAGACTCAATCGTCCCAGTGGAGGCATTCTGGATCACCAAGACCAAAAAAAGCACACCAAGTTCTATCAAATGTAAAGGTTTTGCTTACAGTTTTCTTTGACTGCAGGGGCGTGGTGCATCATGAGTTCTTGCCACAGGGTAGAACAGTAAATAAGGAATATTACCTGCAAGTTATGCGCAATTTGCGCGAAGCAATCCGCCAGAAACGTCCGAATTTGTGGAAAAATAAAAATTGGCTTTTGCACCATGATAACGCCCCTGCTCACACATCGTTGCTTGTGCGCGAATTTTTGGCTAAAACCAACACAGTAACGATGCCACAGGCACCGTATTCCCCAGATCTGGCCCCCTGTGACTTCTTCTTGTTCCTAAAACTGAAGAGGCCCATGAAAGGACGGCGTTTTGCCACGATCGAGGAGATAAAGACGGCATCGAAGGATGAACTAAACAAGATCACAAAAAATGATTTTTTGAAATGCTTTGAGGATTGGAAAAAGCGTTGGCACAAGTGCATTATATCCGAGGGGGATTACTTTGAAGGAGATAAAATAAAAATTGATGAATAAATAAATATTTTTTGAGAAAAGTAAAAATTCACCTTACTTTTTGATCACACCTCGTACACGTGTATCGTAATAGTAGCAAAAATAGAAAGTAACAGCGGAATCGACAAGAAGAACCTATTTCTCAATACACACTACATTATAGCCATAGATCAGCCAATGACTTTTAATTCAAATAACGTCCTTATATCATAAAAAATAAAAAATTTTGTATATATTCATGAGATCATCATTTTACCATCTATAATCGTCATTTTAAGATCTATACTACGAGTATGTTTACATTTTAATCGACTGGCTTTATTTATTTACGGTCTTGTGTCTTGTGAGTGACTATATGGTGCTAGAAGTAATTAAGATGACTGACAAAAAAAGTGTACAGAATGGTTGCAATCATTTGATCTAATATTCTCATCTGTAGTTTTTACTCTTTCCCCCTTAGTCTCATACCCTAAGACTAATTAAACGTTATTCTTATTGAATGAATAGAATAAATTTAGATAATCACGTCTGTATTTCTTCAATATGAGATAATATAAAGTGTAATATACAGATGCATACTTTATATTCTAATTATAAGTCTAAGCATCAAGGAGCTTTCATTACAATATCTAGGAATTAGTTTAGTTGTGCTATGGCAGTTATGTTCGAATAGTCAAAATACGAGACTCATGAAATTTACAAACCCTAAACTGTATATTCATGTCCCATCATCTTAATTTAGTTTCAATGGTAAATTCACAAATTACATAAGTATAAAATATTTTCTTCGAATATCATTACCATAACCTCATTCGTCCTGACTTAATGCTATTATTTTTTATAAAAAAAAGTAATAGCATTCGAAATTTGACAACATTGATATAGAAATATCAAAATAATATCTGAATAAGATTGAGTGATAGATATGAATAAATCAACTTAAATGTTAATATAGTATACTGAAAATGAAAGGGAAGAAAATTTATAAATTTAAGAAACAATAATATTGTTGGAATTTACCTTTATTTCGTTAGCTCCACTTTGAGAAACTACTCTGGAAACTTCTTGTAACTGCGATACTCTGTGACTAAAATCTGTTATCCATTGAATGACTGTACATCCTCGTGGTACGGTGTATCTTCTCCATCCAGCTGGTATAATACCTTTTATTAATTCAGATAACATCGTTCTATGGTAGTTTGTTTGTTTCTTTTCGCCCTGAATAATAAAATAAATTCAAAATATTAAAGTTTATTATAAGAATATTATTTGTTCAAAGAAGGGGAATTTGAAATCAGAACATATAACTTATTCTTGTCATTTCAATGGAAAGAATATTTCGATTTAACATACTTAGAAGAGCTTTATAATCGAAATTTCAGCAAAAATTATCAAGTTTCTAAATCTGATATATACTTATTCTATGAATGTCAAAAAGCAGAAACTTTAAACATATTATTATCGAATAATACTCCAAGATGAATTAGTAAAATATTAATATAAATTATAATCGCAGAAAATTACGTGGAAATATGGGGAATATTGGTGTTACGTCCGGAATTTACAAAATATTTACTTTCCCATTCTGATCTCGAGTATCTCTGAAATTTACTGGGAAAATTGATCTAGAGTGAGCGATGTTAGGCAGAATTAACGAAAGAAAAAATCTGTCGTGATAGGTTACCATTTATCATCTTTAACTTGTATTCATGAACTGCAGTCTGGCGTCGACGAGAATAGTGGAATGTACCTAAAGCACCGTTCAAAGCCAGTCACACTTCATAAGTCGAGAGAATGTTTCGGTTCGAGTTGTAACTTTACTGATTTTTGATGGTATCGATTTCTTTATTACTATTACACTGTTAATCTTAAAAGAGAGTAAAACGTTTCACGTAGCTCGTCACGGTTTTCTCAAAGTCGCGGAGTGTGTGTCCAGTCCTCTCCGCAATCGAAGAAAAGACCAGCAATGGCCCGCCCACTGGCGTGATAACTATTGTCACCGGCCAATGGACTAATTGCTCATTCAGCTTCGCGAGTCGTTCCTTATCCTATTCAGCAACTCTTGCAAGATCGTAAAAGAGGTGGACTGTCTCTCTCCCACTCTCGCGATCTGCTTTTGCCAAAAGCGCATATTAGGCGGAAGATTATATGTATCTCTCACTCTCCGCGGGAAATGGCATCGACCTACATGCACAGTTTATCTGAAGGTCGATCTGTATCGAAACTGCTAAGAGCGAAGAACCGCGCAATTAGCCGTTTGCATGAGAAAGACTGAAAGTCGCACACAAAATACTGTTTTGGCAACATTTCAGCGTCCAGTGGATTTGACTTGCTTGGGACGTAACTTTGGATTGAATAAGAATAAAAGGCTTTCAACAGAAAAAAATTGGTGCCAATGTACAATTACCGAATTACAGGTAAAAAACCGATATTACATAGTTTTTTTTAATTTTGCGCTTGATAGTGAAACCTAGTGTGCTAGAAAACATTAGTTATTATAATAAATAAAAATTTGTTAATAGTTGCGTATAGGCAAGTGCCAGCCAGTGACAAGGAATAAAAAAGTAGAAGGGAGCGAGAGTACAGTTAGGCCTAACAACTAAAAAGCCGGCGTGACTATAAAACCTTATTGTTTGTTCCTAAGTTTCAGTGTTTGACGTTTTTGGTGAACAAGTCTTACGAGATGAGTCTTGAAAGATCGAGCGACTGCAAAGATTTGATCGCTTGGCATTTCTAAAGATGCAATTATTATTGCCGTCTTTCAGAGGACGTTACCTGGAACGCCTGGAGTAGAGAGAATGCAAAAAAGTAGCAGCAGTATCAGCAATCAGCCCTCAGTTACGTGCATTACCGGGCCTTTGTTTGCTTCTCGGTAGCGGCACTTATTTAAACTACTCTTTAAACTGGTTTGCCTGGTCCGAATTCTCTAATTTTTTATTTGATAACAATTAAAGGATAGAAAATAAATCGAATATCATAGGTTATCGTTAGTTGGATTATATAGCTGTGGGTTGTAGAACCGGCAAATTGTATTAAACATCTTACTTATTTTCCTCTTTCAACTAATAATGCATATGTATTTCTTGTTAAAATCAATTTTGATCAGAATTTAAAAAAATTTCAATATTCTTTTGTAGAATGACATTTTTACTTCAATAATAAATTCGATAATAATTAGCTTATTTCATATACTATTTTTTTAGTAAATAATTTATTAATTTCGCTTCCAATAGCTCTTTGGGTTCTTGTAAAATCTCTTATTCAATGCTTTGATGCTTTAAAATGAAAATCTTCATATCTAATATCTTTTTAAGCTTGTAAAACCATTTTTGTAAATCTAGATCATAAATAATATTTACAATATCAAAAGCAATTTTGAAATTTTCAAACACAAACAAACTAATTTTATCAATTTTTTCCTTATGAGCTCTACCGCTACATAAAGCTTTTAGCCAGCGTTTTATATGTATTATTGATATAACTTTCCGAAATTAATTTGAACAATTCTTGATTTGTAATCGTGATCTAATCCATCAACATCTGATAAGCTTACTGGTGAAATTCGTCTGTATCAATATGATATCGTTTTCAACTTCTACTACTTGCATTTGAACTTTACACGATTTTATAAGAATTTTATAAGAATCAATAATCTCATCTTCGGTCATATTCAATCTATAAAGCTAATACTACCAGTGAGTTAGAGGGAATACATTTTGTTTAACGATAGCGTTTCCTTTTTTACGTAAATGCAATACGACTATTTGCTCAAAATCGTCTTCCGTTTTGCGTAGAAAAAATCTTTTTATACCAACATGTTTATTCCATTACAAATTCATAATGTGTGTTTGGGAGTGCATCATAAATTATCTTTTTTTTCTGTTATTAGTACATCGATATAGATATCTTTCTTATCTTAAATATGTTTAGGAAGGTCTATTCTAATAGGTACATAGAAATACTTTTACAACAAGTATGATTTCTAATAAAATCTTAGAGTCGATTGTTTTTAATCATTCTTAGTATTTGGAGATAAAATTAACGTATCGTAAATCTTTTTCTACTTACTTAGATTTACTTGTTATTTAGAGTTGACTGAAAATGTAAAAAAAAGAATGTATCAAAGGAGGACGGTTCTTTCGAAGTAGTAAAATTTTCATTGGTTGAGAAGGATGTCTAGTATTTTTATTCATCAGGAGGAAGTTTTTTGTTTCAAGAAGAAGCAACTGACAGCATCTGGCTACACTTTTACGCAAGACTAAAATTAATATTCTTCATTTGAAGACTTGTTCTACGAAGATCAATTCGCTCGAGTTATTTGTATTCAGTATTCTGCTGAAAGTAATTTATCTGTACCACATTAACTTTGTGTTTGTTCATCTTATATAAACTTTACTACGTCACAGTAATTTTTGTGTTGTTTTATCAGTATTTTTTATCAGTTTTATTTTATCATATTAACAAAAATAAAGATATGTAGATTCATGATTCTAATTATTAAAAGAGAAAGAGTTATTGTATATACGAGGTGTGATCAAAAAGTAAAGTGAATTTTGAAATTTAGCGGGCTACGTCCGTTCGATCTTCGACGTTTTTATTTGGTTATGTCGGTACACTCGTCTAGAACATACGTTCCAAATTTCAGCTTTGTAGTATGTTTGGTTTGTTTGTGAGAGGCGTCAAGGTTAGAAGTGTTTTGCGTGCTCCACGATTTGCTGCTGTCTAAAAACATGGATCAAAGAGTTTGCATTAAATTTTGTGTGAAAAATGGAATCAAATGTTCCAAAACACTTGAAATGCTGAAAGTGCCATACGGTGAGTCTACTTTAAGCCAAAAAAATGTTTACAAGTGGTATAAACTCTTCCAAGAAGGCCGAGAAGACACCGACGACGAACCTCGTTCTGGACGCCCCAGCACATCAACAACTGATGAGAATGTTGAAGAAGTGAAGAAAATAGTGTTGGGAAATCGTCGAATTACCATTAGAGAAATTGCTGATGATATTGGCATCTCATTTGGTTCGTGCCAATCAATTTTGACGAGTGTTTTAGACATGAGACGTGTGTCAGCGAAGTTTGTTCCGAAATTACTCAATTTCGACCAAAAGAAACGTCGCATGAGCATCGCCCAAGAGCTACTGAATGACGTCAACGATGATCCAGATTTACTCAACAGGGTTATAACAGGTGACGAAACATGGGTATACGGTTATGACGTCGAGACTAAGACTCAATCGTCCCAGTGGAGGCATTCTGGATCACCAAGACCAAAAAAAGCACACCAAGTTCTATCAAATGTAAAGGTTTTGCTTACAGTTTTCTTTGACTGCAGGGGCGTGGTGCATCATGAGTTCTTGCCACAGGGTAGAACAGTAAATAAGGAATATTACCTGCAAGTTATGCGCAATTTGCGCGAAGCAATCCGCCAGAAACGTCCGAATTTGTGGAAAAATAAAAATTGGCTTTTGCACCATGATAACGCCCCTGCTCACACATCGTTGCTTGTGCGCGAATTTTTGGCTAAAACCAACACAGTAACGATGCCACAGGCACCGTATTCCCCAGATCTGGCCCCCTGTGACTTCTTCTTGTTCCTAAAACTGAAGAGGCCCATGAAAGGACGGCGTTTTGCCACGATCGAGGAGATAAAGACGGCATCGAAGGATGAACTAAACAAGATCACAAAAAATGATTTTTTGAAATGCTTTGAGGATTGGAAAAAGCGTTGGCACAAGTGCATTATATCCGAGGGGGATTACTTTGAAGGAGATAAAATAAAAATTGATGAATAAATAAATATTTTTTGAGAAAAGTAAAAATTCACCTTACTTTTTGATCACACCTCGTACACTTACCATGGATGAATTCGGTATGAACGTTTTGAATGTGATTACTAAAGTTAATATAAATATAAGTTCCGAAGTTACAGATAAATTTCCATTTTTGATAATGTGTTATAAATGGTTATTCGAAAAAAAATAAAATGTCATACTTATTAATTATAATCAATTCGTTTGTGAAATAAAGGAAAATAGAGTTTAAGAAATTGATTAATCGTTACATGAATTAATAATATATTTATTTAAAAATAAAAAAAATAATAATAACAATGAAAATAAAAAATTACATATTATATATTAAAACATGAAATTTCTCAAACAATACCGGGTGGACCATTTTAATCGAAGCACCCAGAAATCTTTTTCCAGGTAAGGATG